TTCTGCAACTTATTGCACTTAACTCTTTTTAACGTCAAGCAATTCTCTGCTATATGCGTCCAACTAAAACTTTGACCTTTTGCAACGTTTTGATTTAAGTAGCCTATTATTAAAATGATTCAGATATCGCACGCCCTTGCGATATGCATATCGCGATATTTACATTTGCGATATTTCGATATATCATGCAGCCCTAATTAACACTCAATACAAATAATACAAACAAACATGAGTCTGGTTAATTTAGTGCAGATTAATATGATTAAAAAAAATGTGAACTGATAACTCACTACGAGCAGTTTGAGCATAGCGGCACAGTCTCTCTCTCCTGTAGCGTTGAATAAGAGGACCCTCACCACCGAACCCCTACAAACACAAAGAGCATTAAACAGCAACAAAAATTACCAACCGTCTGCTGATATGCACAGTTCAAGAACCAATGCACGGCTCCACTGATTATATTCTTGAGTTTCTACTACATGCCTTTAGATTTGCATTTAAACCTTTTAGTCTTAAAGGAACAATCATAAAGATATTTTAGAAAACAGATCGTTCTGGTCCTTATTTACCTTTATGCATTTAGCAGACGCTTTTATCCAAAGCGACTATACGTTTTTATCAGTTCACAACTTCCCTGGGAATTGAACCCATGACCTGGCGTTGGTAATGCTTGGTAAACACCATGCTCTACTGTCTGAGTTCCTGGCCCTGAATACAAATAAAAGAGTAAGGCCTTCTCACCCAGCGTTTCTCTCGTGTTGTGGTGTGACTTCATTGAACCAGCGGACACAGGCCAGCATGCTGCGAGTAGTATGAGCTCCATCCAGGAAATACGTCACAGGACTGTGTTTTAGCGTCTGATTGCGCCCAGGCCACTCAGTCTCTGCAAGACCTGTGAAAACATCATATACTGTGTGTGTGAATATATATATATATATATATATATATATATATATAGTGGCAGGTGTGAAAGACTTGTTGCATCTTTCCCAAAAAGACTCGTGGCTGTATTAGATCAAAAGGGTGCTTCTACTAAATACTGAGGAAAGGGTCTGAATACTTAGGACCATGTTATATTTCAGTTTTTCTTTTTTAATAAATCTGCAAAGATGTCAACAATTCTGTGTTTTTCTGTCAATATGGGGTGCTGTGTGTACATTAATGAGGAAAAAAAATTAACTTAAATGATTTTAGCAAATGGCTGCAATATAACAAAGAGTGAAAAATTTAAGGGGGTCTGAATACTTTCCGTACCCACTGTATATACACATACATACATACACATACACACACAAATATATTCACACAAAAAGTACAATTGCTAAATGCACTATGACCTTTCCAAGGCTTTAGCATTTAGTAATTTTGTAACAATACTGATTAAATATCAGGACAAGTAACCGAAAGGCTGCAGGTTCAAATCTCTTAATATGTGAACTCTCATAAGACACTGAACCCCAGATTTCTTCATGGGTAATAACCTCGAAATAAGTTTACTGAAAGTCACTTTGGTTAAAAGTGACCGGAATAACTATGCTGTCTTCTAAAACACCTCATTTAAGTCTAATTTTAAGGCAACATCAAATGTACCCTTCATAGAAAACGGCAATACCAGAATGCCTTGCATTGAGAATATAGAGAATAATTAACCAAAGACTGGTGGAAATCCATTGGGAGCCCTTAAAGCCCTTTGTATATAGGCTTATATAACCACATAAATACAGAAAAATCATATCCCTGTTTCTTGCTTTTTGCTGCCTATGTAGGCTGTACTAAATCAATCGATAAAGAAGTTCCATAAGGGTTAAAATGCCGTTTTAGAAGGTAGCTACCTATGTAGTCAGCAGACATCAAGGAGGTTCACTAGGTTTCAGAACAGAGCTTTTAATTGGGCTGTATAGTGTTTTTCCAAACCTTTGATCATTGCAGGACTAGGCTGGATCACTGGAGCTGAACTCACACCGCTGAACTCCACTGGAGATGATGACGCAGGATCTGAGGAACAAACAGCTGATTAAAAACACAAACAGAGATATGGGAACTAACCCACAAACAGTCAGAAACACGCACCTGTGAGGAAGTGTCTCTGCAGCCAGGTGTGTGAGAGCTGTAGAGCCAGAGAAGCGTTACTGCGCTGATGGTGACCAGCTAGACCCAAGCTGAGCGAACCCTCGCTCTCATACTCCTCCAGATCAGGACACACTGATAACGAACACTGAGAGAGAGAAACACAGAACAATGTGAGCAAATTAACTGCATTCTGAATTGTGTATCTGTAGTATATTCATATTTCTCACCCCAATTTCTTCTGCCCTCTCTTGAAGCACCTTCATCGGCCCATCAGGTTGTTTGACTGTGAATGCAGGAACTCCTAGCTGCAATAAACACATTCACTGAAAAACTTCCAACATGCAAAGTTTCGAATTCTTTTTCACACAAGAGCCACAAATATTCACCTTGAAAATCCCTCCTTTCTGCCCAGCAATTTTCTCAATGGTGTCTCCCAGTATGCTGGTGTGATCTATCCCCAAAGAGGAGATGCCACACACCCAGGGACGCCTAAGAAAAGCATTGCAATAAATTAATCCTCAATTACCTTTCAAGTGGAGTGTAGAATTTCTGTGCCATTAGCAACAAGAAATGCAATTGCTAAATAATGATTGATTCAACATTAACGTCCATCTGAGTAGTTGTGATCTTGAAAAATCATAGATGTAACACACATCACCTTTAACCATGTCATTTCATTCCTCGACAACCTTCCCATTTTTAATACAGGATTTGTAGGTTCAGTCTTATAGTGCTTTGTTGATTACAAAATATTATTGTAATTTTACATGGAAGAACGCATATGGAAAATTCTACAGAAGTGATTCAACTTGTAGAGCTTTAAAAGTTGATTTGCATTTGTATTTCTCATTGGTAAGTATGTGTTTTTGCAAAGTTGTGGTGAATTTCTGAAGACTGTTGATGGAATAGTTCACCTCAAAATGAAAATTTGCTGAAAATGCACTTACATTCAGGCCATCCAAGATGTAGATGAGTTTGCACCCATTTACTGCAGAGATGCAAGTGATGTAATGCTACATTCCTCTGAATCTATTCCAATAAAGAAGCAAACTCATCTACATCTTGGATGGCCTGAGGGTGAGTGAATTTTCATTTTTGTATGAACTACTGCTTTAACGCTTTAGAAGGAATCTGTGTGTACCTAAAGCGAATGTGTTTTTGAATAAAGATAAGTTGTCATTATTGGCTCTTATTGAGAATAAGATCATTTAAAATGCAGAGTGATTTCTTGATTTTCATGACCATTGATTGGTTCATGTGGTCAGTCAGGATCATGACTGATAGAATCAACTAAACTCATAAAGAATGCTGAACAACGATTGGTTGATATGAGAGGAATGTGTCACGCTTGAATTATGAAAAGCCAGATGAATGGAGATTAAATGGATGTCACACTAGAATAATGTGGCACAAAGAGAGTATTAGACACGCTACACTGAAGCAGACGGGAGGCAGACAGTAAAATCTCTGATTCTCAAGGCCGAATAGTGCTGTGATACCTGATAATATTGGTGCAGTCATAAGCTCCACCGATCCCAACCTCAATGACGGCCGAATCAACCTGCACAGAGGCGGAGACATAGACAGAGAATTTTGGTCAAGGTTTATAATAAAGGACAAGTGTCAATAATCTTTCAGACAAAAAGATTTAACTTTATCATCTTATCAGCAATGTCAAAGTTCTACAAAAACAGCAGTAGATCAGTATCAAATGCTTGATCTGTGATCTCAAACATATGTAGGTTTCATTACAGGCTCAACTGTTGAAATAAAATGATTAAATATTCAGGTAAAACAGATCAGCAATGTTGCTCACCTTCTCCTGCAGAAAGACATGAAAGGCCAAGATGGTGAGAAAGCGAAAATAAGCAGGCATGCTGCCGCCATGGGCATCCTGAAAGGTTAAACACAAGCGTTATGAAAAAAAAAAAAAGAAGGATTTTGCACCTTTGAATATTACTCATATCATGGTTGTGCTTTGCCATTTTTGAAGGATACGTGGATGCAGATGTTCAAAGAGACATTTTAGGTTCTGGTGTCTGAACAAATGGCACTGTCTCCTTCCTCACATGATTGACATGCTGTTGCGATTATGCAATTACATGGCCAGATGCCTCACATTTACACTTAACACAATTAACATGGAACAGATGCAAACGTGGTAGAGCAGCCAGCATGAAACATGCCCTTCTTTCATAGGAATTAAAGCATTAGAGCTCAAGACATTGTTTAAAGCTACCGCTAAGCTCACAAATGCATAAGTAAACCTTCCTCAGAAGTAAAAAGCTTGGACATGAGCACATATTCACTCACAGCAGCGGATAAAGGAATTTAAAGAGTTTAAGTTCTATAATTTTGTATAATTTTATTTTTCCCCTGAAAGTTTCTTGCATCAAAAGCATTCATAAAACTATATATTCAATTATTAATACATGCAAATATTAATATATTCAAATCACAATCACTATTGTGATTGGCTAAACCCCATCCGTCTCACCTTTGTCTCCTCCAGTCGTCCGTACACCTGCCAGAAGTATTTGGTGAAGAGCTCTTTTCCTATCGGCTGCCCGTTGATTCGGATTCGCTCTCTCACTTGCACCAAATGAGGTGAACTATAGAGAGAAAGCAGAAAACAAACAATACACAAATCAAGCTACACAATAAAGATAACACAGAAAATGTAACGACTTTACTACAGTGTTTGTTTAAGCCCTAAAAGGTCTTGCTGTGAACAATAGTCAATGATTATGTAAATCATTAAGCTTGAGCTAAAGTTAAACAAAACCTAGGACAGACTGATTACATCATTTGCATGGTAATACTGACGTGACACAGCTTTACTTGTTACTCAAAGAACTGGTTTATTTGAGTGGACAGATCAAGCAAAGTTCAGCATGAACTCACATACATGCGCATGCATGAATAAACAGTGGAGTTACGCAACACTTACACTGATTTAAAAACCCTGCCGCTCCCACAATCACTAAAGAATGACTATAAACACATTCATCTCCAAACACCGGATTATTTTGACTGGTTATAATACCTGTAGAATCCAGTCCGGAAGCCATACTTTCTCAAAATCTGTTCTGTAAAGGCACATGTTGAACCCTAAAAATATAAAGCAATATTTTCTGCATTTTGTTCAACTTTTATAACTCGATTCAGTGTTTAATTGCTCAGTGAACAGGTTTACCTTTCCTTTTGTTCCAGTCACGTGAATAATATTAAGACGATCAAGTTCTTCTACCTGAGGACAGACAGGACACATCAGCGCATTTTGAATGGTTATTTACAAAACATATTGCAATTAAAATATGGTTGTGAACATGTTTTAACACACTGAGACGAGGAAGAACTTGTTTTCACAATGCGAAGAAGACTTTAGTTGTTTTTGGTTGCAAATGTGCGGTCACAGTTAAGCATATGTTGAGTATTTACAATGGCTTTAAATGCATTTTAAAAGCTTTGCATATGTAATTGCTATAGTTTTAATCATTTGTAATTTGTAATATTTTGAGTCTTTTGTTTTTATTTTATTTGTTAAATAATGTAAAGCGGTTAGGCTCACCGTTCATTTGCTAAGATTCATTTCTTTTGTTTTGTGTCTGCCGAAGTGCAAAAAAAAAGGGGAAATAATTAAACAAAATGAAGTACTTTTCATTTATAATGCATTTTAATTCTCTGGATTATTCAAAATTTAGGCATTATCACAATATCATTTAATATACAAAAATATACAATGTAGTTATAGAAATTTGATGTAGCTCAGTTTGAATAGTTAATTACAAAAACATTTAAATACAGTCATTTAAATACAGATTGGAACGTTTCAACAAATCAAAATGAGAAAACTCATTCTCACTTATTATATAGAACTCACTTATGCTTTGTTTTACGTCTGTCAAGTTAAAATTTAATAATTTAATGACACTGAAATTCAAAAATGTAAATAATTTTTACACAATAGTGACTTAACTCATTAAAACATTTTTTTTCAATACAGAAATTGTATATTATCCACTCACTAAGCTGTCAAACTAATCTCTTAATCGGCCAAGGATGAACAGTGTTGGGGAAAGTTACTTTTAAAAGTAATGCATTACAATATTGCGTTACTCCCTAAAAAAGTAACTAATTACGTTACTTAGTAACTTTTTATGGAAAGTAATGCATTACGTTACGTTTGAGTTATTTTTTAAATCTGGGCAGGGCTTGCCTGTTTGTTTTTAATATAAAAAAGTCCTTCTTTTACTAATGTAAAAGCTCTTTCACAACAAAAGTGGAATGAATACGCCTCAGGCTGAAGGAAATGTAAATCCACGTCTGTACAGTAGAGGGCGCCGCTCAAACAAATCACATGAATATGACGCAGAGAAGAAAGTTCAACGCTATTCAGTAATAACAAAAATAGAACACAAATGTGTAATTTTTGCTTATTAGTATGGTTGAATTGGATCATCGAAGGTCAGTAGCAAAGACATTGGTTAATAAAATGGGATTAGATACATTTGTGCCATTTAACATATTTAATTATTTAAATAGGTTTGCGTCATATTCTGAGTTTGCATTTCACTGTTTTAATTCATTTTGATGAATACTAAATACTTTTAAAAAGTAATCTGATTACGTGACTCTCGTTACTTGTAATGCGTTACCCCCAACACTGAGGATGAATCGTTACTGGCTGAGACTGATACCAAATAATGGCTGATTTATTGACATGAATAGTGGTCTATTGTTTGTGCATACAGGTACCGTGATGTAAAATCACTCATACAGTGACAATGACTTTGGTCATGCCGTCCACTCCAGTCATGAGTATTTCAGTGTTGTGAAGCTGATACCTTGAGTCCTGCCCGCTGGAGGAAGCCTCTCATGGCCTGCAGCTGGAGCTGAGGATGACCTCTCTCTCTCTTCACCTGCTCCAGCGCGCTGGCGTTCGTCTGGAGGGTGTTGAGGGTGCAAACCGCATCCTGGAAGACATTCATAATGCTACAGGATCTCAAAGACTTCATGCCATCTCAACCACCAGCTCTGAAGCTCATGAAACTCTCATGTTTACATCCAATCCTGATTTATAACTCGCAATATAAGTGCTGGAAGTAATTTTGAGCTGATATTCAGAGAAGATGTCCATGTAAAGCTCTAGTCTCTCTCTACAAACTGAGGCTTAACTCTTGCTTTACTAACAAAACACTGAACTTATGAACTCTTTCATAATATTTAGTCAATGTTTAGCCAGAATATCTGGTTTATGTAGAACAATCATATTACAACTGGCAAATGAAAACGAAATATGTTTTATTGCTGAATGTTTTGGTTGGTTGGTGGAAGTGATCAGATGAATCCTAGATGAAGCAACTGGCAAAATATATATTGCATATATTGACAATCACTTATTAACGAAACAGAACTTGCTTGACTAGCAAAGTAAGATGAGGTAAATCTAGTCTTGACACCATAAAAAATCTGGGGAAATCTCAGAAAGATTATGATTTCTTCTTTCATAAGATTATGAAAGATTTCTAATCTCAGAAAGATCTAAGATATGCAAGTACCGTAGTTTAATAAATGTGAATATGAAAAAACTTTCATTATATTAAAAAAAAAAAAAAACTTCTATTCTAATATTATTCTACATATTTACATAATAACATAAAATCATTGTTATTCATCACAAATATCAACACAAAGCATTCATTGATTGTTTTTATTTAACTGTCTTTTGTATTTAATAATAATAATAATACATTTTATTTATAATGTGCTTTTCTAGTACCCAAAGTGCTACAAACAATTGGAAATAAAACAAATAAAATACAGAAAAAAAATCCAATAATACAAAAAAAAATCCCTTCATTTCTTATATTTTGAATATAAGAGATATAGGTTTAAAAAAATAATAATAATTTGTTGTTATAATAATAAAAAAATAATTTAAAACTTACAAATTATCTAGTTATATATATTCTAGATTTTTTAAACCTTTTTTTAAGAAATAAATTCTGCATTTCATCAATATTCCAAATGTTAACAATTATGCCAATAAATCTTTTATGACACTGACTAATAATACTAGGTCAGATTTGACCTCTACTATATCAACCGTCACCTAATTCTCTAATAAACATAAATGATACAACAAGCTTAGTAATGAATGAAATTCGGATCTTCCCTTCTACACTCACATGTATTTAATCCTCAGTTATGGCTGCCTGAGCACCTGGCCTTTATGAAAGTATGCAGAATATATGGCAAGCTGTTTTGACAGCTATTGCTTAATATAACTTGTATCTATTTTATGTTAATACTTTATAATTACTAGTAAATAATCCAATTGTGACTTATTTACACAATTATTCATTACATACTAGGACTAATTTCTTTGCTATCATCCGAACAGTGACAACTTTCCATTCATTTGTTATTGGTGCACTTCGTTACCTGTAACTACTGGGAAAGTGACTAGAAGCAAAGAAATACGTAGTATATCATAAATAAGTGCGAATAACATTTTAAAAGATTAAGTTTGTTATGCATAAATCAATGTTGTACGGCTTGCCACTAATATCCATTGAACTCAATGGAATCCACATGACCTCACATGCACACATTACGCGAAAATTTTTTGCCGCTCTTTGATTTTAAACTCTAACGGCTGATGTAACAACCGTTACATATGAATCAGCCGCGTATGCTGGATTTACAGCGTAATTTCAACCGAGCCCAAAAATAAAGCTGCCGGGCAAAAGTCCAAATAAAAGTGCATAAACTCAGCATTTATTGTTAATAATTTCCATACAAACGCATAACATATGGACGCATGCTTTACCTGATAGTCCATTCGTCGGAACCGCGGAGCAGCTTTAGTACTGGAGAACCTCACTGACAGGTCGGCGATTTTGGTCCAGTGTCGGTTGCTCGCGGAGGCTTCGGTACACGCGTGTAAACGCTCCAGCACGCGGCACAGGCGCAGCATGGTGACCCGGGGAGAGAGAGCAGGAAGCAGCTCCAAATTTGGTGAGTTTTCCTGTCAATATGGAACTCTGGCGTCATGCCACGCCTCCTTCCTCACCGTACAGAGTTCACTACTGTTTACTATCGCCAGTGCGAGTGACAACAATTTGGTGCATTCGATTAAATACAGAATTCAGTGATGATTTGTGATTCGAAGCGGATAGTTGAGTCACCATAACATTTCCAGTTCGCTGTCTATTCAGACCACAGCAGACCTCCTGTTTTAACCGGGCTGTGCGTTCATGAGCTCAGAGAAACACGCCGCGCTGCACGGGTTCATGTTAAAAAAAAAACTGGATTTCTCTGAGTTGCCATGCAGTGCTGCTAAACGCTTCCCACGTGTCAGCTGTCTTCGAGAGCCAGCGCGCACGTGGTACTGCGCATGCGCATTCTCGCTTATAATGCAGCACCGCCACCTACTGGATAGAGCTGGATAGAAACGCGTCATTTAGGGATGTCATGTAAATCAGCTCAGATAACGTTTGATTGAACTTTATAGTTTTGTATGTTTCTTTTTAATTTAATTTATTTTCTCATTAGCAATTATAGTTTATTAATTAATTAATTCAGTTAATCGACAATATGATCATTAAAATATATTCGGACTGGAAGGAAATTTAACTACTTCATGACTGTTTCATTGCATTTTTAAAATTAACTTTGTTAAAGGGATAGTTCACCCAAAAATGAAAATTCTGTCATCACATAAGAAAGCAACTCGTACAAGTTTGGAACGACATGAGGGTGAGTAAATGATGACAGAATTTTCATTTTTGGGTGAACTATCCCTTTAATTTAAGTAACAAAACTAAATTTTTTACATTTATTATTTAATAAATGTAATATTGAATTGATTTAATAAGTTATTTATTTTTATTATTTAATAAAATTAAATAATCAATATTTTTTTGTAACATTTTAAATTAAAATCAAATGTGTTGTGACATATTTAAATTAAATTACCATTTATGTATAATAATATTCACAAGCAGGACGCAAAGTGTACAATCAGGGTTCTCAGTTTTGCTTCTGGAGATATAATTATATATATTTCTAATTCAGATCAAATATTTAAACTAGTTAAAACGATTTCAGTTTAACTAAAAACAGGCTTTGAAGCAGGATTGACAATCTCTCCTGCAGTTTTGCTAAATGACCAGTAGATGTCGCGAGAAGACAGTGGATGATCCTGTGGTGACAAGCTATTGAAGACCCACATTTAAGTGTTAAGGCAACATTTTCTCAACAACTTGCTGAGAAGAAACATTTTCCCCTCCATCTGATCACTGTAAATAAAATAATCAGTTGCTGCTTTAGATTTTTTAAGAATTATCAAATTGACTTTTCAGGTCATTTCAACTTCAATGACATTAAACTGACTTTAAAATATTGAGTTAAATGTCATATAACTTAAAAAAAAAAAAGAAGTTGAAATTGGTTAAATTAATTCTGACAAGTCGATGGAAAAAATATTTTGCTTGACTTATTAATCACAATTTTTTGAGTGCTGAACTATGGTAAAGAGCTACAGTACTGTTTTGTAAAGTCTCTTAATGGTGGTATTAATAAAAGTTAATTATAAAGCTAATAAAATATTATTTTCTCACTTTTAATCGACTAAAAAATACACGTGGGGTTACCTTAAGGGGTGTTGTGGCATAGTGGTCAACTGCTCAATGATGGTAAATGGATAGAAAATATATTCATTTAAATTTATAAAGCCATAAAAATGGTCTTGTTTTCGGGTTTGAATTGCTATTAGGCCTTTTTTCTAAGCATCTGTAGGTTTATCTCCTTTAAATAATACAAAATAGAGTGTCTTTATGTCAATTATGTGGAATGAAGAATATCTGTATGATTGATTCAACATATAAAAGCTAATTTGAAGGTTCCTGGCTCGATCCCATAGGTCTTACTCGATGCTATACAGTGACCCATGGGTTAATAGAGCAGACGTGCGTTTGCTTGCATCCTATTACCAGTGCACGACAGAGAAGGTGCAATTCATGAGAAAGGCCACATATCAGGAGATGATCAAAGAAACTACTAACGACTCCGTATTAAAGTTGTCCAAGCATATGATGACATTTAGTCCAGTGTGACGAACCTTTTTGGTTCATTACGTGCTAAATCCATTCCCGTGATGAGATCCTGAATTACTGAAATGGAAACGATGCGAATTTCAGCTATGGTTATCTTCTTGGAAGATGCTTGTGTGGTGATAGTGAGCAATTTAGATATTGACCAGACATTCTGCCTTTTATCCACATGTAAACCAGAGGTGTAAAGAATACCTAAAAACCATACTTGAGTAAAAGTACAGATACCTTGCAGTGAAAATTACTCCACTACACGTTACAATTAACAGTAAAAGTCTTAGAGTATCTGATTTCAACAGTACTTAAGTATTTTACTTATACTAAATATAGACTCAAAGATGCACTAGTCAAAGAGACATGCCAGTGAAAAACTAATGTTGTGGAGAAGCTGCGGAAAACAGGCAGAGGCAAGGATCTATGTGCTGGGATTTCATGGAAAAACTAGAACAAACAATAAGGCCAGACAACCATTACATTCAACAATTCACAAGGAACTAAAGAAAAACTTGGGCTATATATATATATATATATATATATATATATACACAGGGGGCTAACAAGCTTAACAAGATAAGACACCTAATCAAGGGGAACCAATGAACAAACGGACTACAAACTGACTACAAACACCACGGGAGACAGGAAGTGACATAAAAGTCCAGGAAAGATACTCAAGTACAGTAACTAATTACATTTACTCCAATACTTTACACCTCTGATGTAAACACAGTTTATCTCAGTGAAACATGTGCGTGAAAGCGATTACAAGGAGGTTAGATGTCAAGATTTGGTCAGAGAAGTGCAAGAAATGAGAATACAGTATTATGTTGGATTCGGACAGGTAAAGCAGATCATTCCAGCTCTAAGGCATGAGTTGAAGGAGAGAGATTACAAGGACTAGAACACGGTGTCTCTGGCCCCTGGGCTTTTATCCAGATTAGACCCAGATTCCCATTTCAGGTTCTGTTACTAGAGCCGTTTGGTTTTGGCCTGCAGCACTTTGACCTCAGAAGAAGAATTGGAAAGGTTTATTTTTTTCTTTTAGGTAATTAAAACACTTATCACCTACTAATGTGAATTTAGGTAAATACTGTTCCATGGGCGTTGCGAGGCCATTTTTATTTCATTTTTAGGCCATTCAAATTCGTGATCGCCTTAGTCCCCTTTAAATTTCATATGAAAACGGCGGCAGACTTCGATCGGCTCCTCCCCGTCTTTCAGCCGCTTTCTTTTCAGGTGTGTGTTTATCAGGGTTGCCAGGTTTTCACAACAAAACCCGCCCAATTGCTACTCAAAACTAGCCCAATCAGAGGTAAAATAGGCTACACGTTTTTGGTGGGGTTCCCCTGGTAAAATTCGCATTTTAGGGGCTGAATATCACGTTATTGGGGTCGCTTAAAACCGCGGACATGAAAAACATCCCGCGACAACAGTGTTAAAGTAGCCCAATTCCGCGGGAAATACGCGGACTTGGCAAAACTGGTGTTTGTTTATCGATAGATTGTTAAATTATCTGCATCGGTGCAGTTCTTTGTCATAAATACAGTTTACAAAATATCATGGGGGAGCAATCGGTTCCCCATCTACTGTAGCCTAAGTTACCCCTCATCGCACCACAGTAAAAACACCAAGGAAGGGGTTACACACTAAGAGTACAAAACAGACACATACACACACACACACAGAAATGAACTGGCGTGGCTGTTACAATATGGAAAAAATTGAGCCAGAAGACAGGTTGAAATCAGATTAATTGACCACTGATAAAGCATTCCTGTTAATTTTTGTTGAACTCTGATGTTGTGTAATAAAACGTCTTTCTCTGTGTTCAGGTTTGACTGTAATAAAATTAATTCAAAAACTTACATTTCAAACCAACATTTCAATAAAAAAAAAACTAAACCTTTACAAAAAGGTGTCTTTGAGAATGTCTAAATATAAATCCAAATCCACAACTTAATAAAAACAAGTAATTATGTCTAAAAACAACTAGAGAATGAATAGGCCTTTTTATGTAGAGCTCTATAGGAATCTTGTGACTAAACCATGGAATTTCAGATGTTTTTCTGTTTTTACTCCCACCAGATGGAACTAATCTGCCTTCAAAAATTGGATTTTAAAGGCATTGTCTGGAGTCTTTGTCCAGAGAAAGTTTTTTCGTCAGCTGAACAATCGTGTTAAACAACAATACTTCAGTCCCTCACAGCCTCGTTTTCATTCCTGTCAGAAATTAAATATGGCGCTGCTCTGACTTTAGTCTTTTTTCTAAACATTTGTGCAACATATTCAAGTCTATGGCTTTAAATCAGACAAAATAGCATCCTTACATCATTTGTGTGTAGTGAAGAACAAATGCTACGTATAAAAGCTCATTTGAATGCATCAGACACCAGAATGAGGTTTAATAATTGCTTTAATTTGCCCATCGCCTCACAGTGCTACAGGGTGATTCCCTTTTACAGAACAGCGATCAACTTTTAATCTCATTATTGCCTGTAGCATCACTTATAATCAATCACAGAGAGTAAGACAGCTTTCAGAAGAGAAGGACAATAAATACTCTCAATAGGTTTTGAAAAACAGCATCTAAAAGAAAAGATTTATGAAAACATCATGCACTACAATATGCATCTCGCTAAAACAGTTCAGTCTTTGAAAATGCACAGGCAATTTGATCCAATCAAAAGAAATGGAAAACATTATTGATCAGAGATGATGAACAGATCTATGTACAAACACTGACTTGTGTCTCTATATTCAAGTTTTAACGACTGGAGTATATTAAAATTTAAAAAAAATATTCAGCCAGATTTTCTGACTGAAATATCCTTGTGCTGAATGCAAGAGAAAATGATAAATGATCTGTCTTAATGGCAGCATTTAAGTTCCCACACACACACAAAAACAAGGAAATTTGCGTATTGCTGTCACTTGGTGCAGCTGTTCCACATTAAATATCATTTATTGAGTCCTTACACCTCTCAACATTTCATCTCAGTATAAAAGACGTCACTATCTACACCATTACTTCTTTTAAAAAAAAGTACAATAAAAATATCCAGATAATAAAATCACCATAAATCAACTGCTTCATAGTAAATACATTGAATGTAATCACATTGAAAGTATCTGCCCTGTTATGGATAGTCATTTATGAAGAAACGGAGTTCACAAAAGGGCAGAGGGAATTTCGTAGTCAAGAGCATCCAGCGCGGTTCCCGCTCTTCCCGTCACGTGACTTTAAGATAGCCGTTGACAACCGTTACATACTGCATAGAGAAATGCTTCACTCAAACACAACAGTGCCTGGCACCTACTGTCCATCATAAGAGGTAGAACTAGAAAATAATATTCATGTCGAGTGTCTTTAAAACCGCAGTTTCCCATATTGGGTTAAATAGTTACGGCCACCATTGTGGTTTAGTAATAATATACGCTTAAATACACTTCTAAAAGACTAAAGGTTTGAGTTTTCGGAGAAAAAAATCATACTTAAAGTATCAAAGAAAACTATGGAAGCCCATTTATGCAATAAAATTTTTTTTTAAAAAAGGTAATTGCAGCCTTTTAGCTCACGGTTCTGATTTTCTTCTCGCAATTCTGAGTTAAAATCTCACAATTGCGATATTTAAACTCTGAATTCTGAGAATAAGTGTTGGAATTGTAAGCCATAAACTCTGAATTTCAAGAAGAAAGTTTATATCTCACAATTCTGACATCTCAGGATTGAAAGAAAAAAAGAATTGTGAAATAATTTGCAATTACAGTTTCTATTTTTTTTTTAAATTCTGTAGCTTCCATAGAAAACAGAATTTGTTCATTGATATTTTTAGAAAATTTGATCTAATGTGCTCATTTGAATGAAGTGCAGTACTTTAGCCAAAAGAAAACTCAAACCTCAAATTTGTTTCGTTTTATACATGATTTTTTTCTACGCTATTAAGACTGATTATGACATCATTCTGACATGCTTTCTGTTTAATAAAATATGGTTATAAAAGTTTTAAAATGATTGGGGGGAAAAAAAATTCAGTCTGGACCCAGAACCAAAAACATTCATCAATAGCAAAAATACTTTTTTTCCCAACTTTCCAACATTAATGCTACCAAAACGTCAGAAGGACATATTGAGGAGCTAAAAAATGCAATAAAGTTTAAAAAAATAACTCTTTGGTAAAGAGTTTGTTTGTGCAGCTATTGGTTGTAGTGTTTAAATACCATTTTCCTTTTTTTGGACTTTAAATAGAATCATTCTAGCAACGTTTGTTTTGTTTAGCTGAATGACCAAACCATCATCTGGACCTAAAAGTGTCTGTGTGAAATACACTTCTAAAAGACTAAAGGTTTGAGTTTTCGGAGAAAAAAATCATACTTAAAGTATCAAAGAAAACTATGGAAGCCCATTTATGCAATAAAATTTTTTTTTAAAAAAGGTAATTGCAGCCTTTTAGCTCACGGTTCTGATTTTCTTCTCGCAATTCTGAGTTAAAATCTCACAATTGCGATATTTAAACTCTGAATTCTGAGAATAAGTGTTGGAATTGTAAGCCATAAACTCTGAATTTCAAGAAGAAAGTTTATATCTCACAATTCTGACATCTCAGGATTGAAAGAAAAAAAGAATTGTGAAATAATTTGCAATTACAGTTTCTATTTTTTTTTTAAATTCTGTAGCTTCCATAGAAAACAGAATTTGTTCATTGATATTTTTAGAAAATTTGATCTAATGTGCTCATTTGAATGAAGTGCAGTTATTTGGCCAAAAGAAAACTCAAACCTCAAGTTTTTTTTTTTCTTATACATTATTAAGACTGATTATGACATGATTCTGACATGCTTTCTGTTTAATAAAATATGGTTATAAAAGTTTTAAAATGATTGGGGGGAAAAAAAATTCAGTCTGGACCCAGAACCAAAAACATTCATCAATAGCAAAAATACTTTTTTTCCCAACTTTCCAACATTAATGCTACCAAAACGTCAGAAGGACATATTGAGGAGCTAAAAAATGCAATAAAGTTTAAAAAAATAACTCTTTGGTAAAGAGTTTGTTTGTGCAGCTATTGGTTGTAGTGTTTAAATACCATTTTCCTTTTTTTGGACTTTAAATAGAATCATTCTAGCAACGTTTGTTTTGTTTAGCTGAATGACCAAACCATCATCTGGACCTAAAAGTGTCTGTGTGAAAGTGTTTTCAGGAGTGTTTAAAGGGACGTTTCGGAGGCTGGAGTTTTCCAGAAGAACTTCTTGTTGTCGGGGTCCAAATCGATTCTGATCTGAGGCACCATCTTCTTAAAGGGGTTTAAATCCTGACTAGGAGAAAGCAAAAGAGAGAGCTGTTAGAGATGATTACAAAACACACAGCTCATAGACATGCATTATAATGCTAACTGATTGGTTTGCCTATGCATTTCAGTGATTTTACCAAAATTAAGACAAAAAATAACATGGTAATGTTGGTTCCACCAGCTAGACCAGCACTAACCACCATAAAGCAGCCTGAGCCAGCATGGAATTCGTGCTGATATAAGCTGGATAATTATAGACAAACATGTGCACACACAGATTTACCTTGACACAGTCTTGGAAAGGAAAAAGTGCTTTCCATCAGTAGGGAGTGAGGAAGGACATGGGCTTTCCTATGAGAAACAAACACGAGCTGTTAATATACGTACATACACACGGCAGATTATCAAATCATAGAGGCTTAATATCATATGTATAATATAAGTTATGATGCAGCTGAAAAGAAGAGTTGATTGGTTAGTGGTTAGAATGAAAAGAGGTAGTAAAGAACAGGAAATGCAGAGATAAAAACCATCAGGTTAAAGTCAACACGAGACGGTGTTTGATTCAGTGTTTTCTTGCTATTTATTTAACTTTTTTTGTTTCGCTAATTTTTGAATGTTTTTGAAAATATCTCTTCTGCTCACCAAGGCTGCATTTATTAGACAAAAAATACAGTAAAATCAGTAATATTGTGAAATATTATTGCAATTTGTACTAACTGATTTCTGTTTGAATATATTTTCAAATGTAATTTATTCCTGTGATGTAAAGCTGAATTTTCAGCATCATTACTCCAGTCTTCAGTGTCACATGATCCTGGTGGAATAAAAAAAATATTGATTTTGTAAAATAAAATCTTACTGAATGGGCGTCTGAAGGTTGTGAATAGGAATTGTTATTTTAACAATGTGCATTGTTTCTCCCTCAATAATTAACAAAAGAATCGTTGATGCAACCGTTATGGACCTGAAATTGTTAATCGCTAAATTCCACATAAATCCCATCAATATAGAGCAGAATAAATCCAGGTGCTCGGAGAGATATAAGAGCGATCAATGACAGCGAACTGGTTTTAAAGGCGGAGCAAGTTATTTTGATAAAAGACAAACATTAGGAATGAATCATGCACGAAAAGACCAGGAACATGTATTAGGAAAGTAAATAGGGTCCATTCTGATTGCATGTTGACTTTATTAATACATACAGTACACACAAAGTTGCAGTATAGTGATTAAGCTTGTATTATCTGTTAAGAGCGGATTATTGATCCACACAGACCAGGAAACCAAGCAACAGCATAAACAGAGAAAAGACAGGATTCAGAGATGTGAGGAAAGCCTGAAGAGGGGAGGGGGAGGACATTATTAAAGTTGTTAGTAAGAGGACAGAGTGACGGCTGGAACCCCTGCGCGAGGTGGAGGGAGACCCTGCGTGTTTACTCACGGTCTGAGGGCTTCTGCCCCAGCACTGGCTCCTGTTCCATGGTCTCCATGGAGATCTTTATGCTGGGAACGTTCTCAACGGCTGGAAAATCCGACTGTAAACGCAGGGGTGGCACATTCTTACCACTGCAGCTTTACAGAAATGCCCGTTTCTACCACACACACACACACACAGAGAGAGAGAGAGAGAGAGAGAGACTCACGTCGTTCATGTCACTGTCAATGCTTCCTTTCTTTTTCTTCTTCTTCTTCTCATCCTCTTTCTTCTTCTTGTCTTTCTCGGGCATGATGTCATCCAGGTAACTGAGATCGTGCTGCGAGAACACGTAATCCATGGCCTTTCTCACGGCCACCAATGCAAGAATCTGGAAAGAAGAACAGAAAGAGATTTCAGATGTGTGGAAATTAACCCTGTAAAGTCTCACATATGAAATGTGACCCTGGAGCACAAAAGCAGTCTTAAGTCGCTGGGGTATATTTGTAGCAATAGCCAAAAATACATTGTATGGGTCAAAATTATTGATTTTTCTTTTATGCCAAAAATCATTAGGATATTAAGTAAAGATCATGTTCCATGAAGATATTTTGTCAATTTCCTACTGTAAATATATCAAAACTTAATTTTTGATTAGAAATATGCATTGCTAAGAACTTCATTTGGACAACTTTAAAGGTGATTTTCTCAGTATTCTGATTTTTTTGCATCCTCAGATTCCAGATTTCCAAATATTGTCCTATCCTAACAAATCATACATCAATGGAAAGCTTATTTATTCAGCTTTCAGATGATATATAAATCTAAATTTTGAAAAATTGACCCTTATGACTGGTTTTGTGGTCCACGGTCACAAATAATTGTCAGACAAAATTATTATTATTTTTTTAAATAAGAGTTTATAGAAACTTTAATAAGATAAAATAAGATATGTGTTTTGATTGTTGTTTTTGATATATGTTGTATGATAAGCTCATTTTTGAGAAAGAAAAAAACAGCTCTATTTTATTCAGAGGCCCAAACTGAGCACAAATATGCAATTTGACGCAGTTTCTGATATTTATATGGTCAAAAAGTAAGATGAAATTCTGACAGAAGTCAATGAGATCTTTATAACGGTGTTAACAGTATTAGATTATAATTAAGTATTATATAAAATGCATATACATATCAGTTGTCAATCTATATCTTCCAATAATGTCTTAGTAAGATGATATTTACATGCTTAGTTTTATGATCAAAACATATAATGCAATGCAATATAATGAAGATTGAGAAGAACAAATAAACGTTCCTCAAAAGCCTGGTGATCATATTTAGGACTTTTTCTAAAAAAATGATGTATGGATAATCAAGTAAAGCTAAGTTGCTTCAGTCCAGTAAGTGTTCATCTTGAAATAAAACTAACAATATAAAGTTATTCTTATGTAGACTTTATAAAAATCAGAAAAGATTTCACAGCAAAAAGACACGTGAACCACAACCTAATTGATACTAAAAGGACCATTTAATGCTAAAAAGTATAAACTATCAATCAGATGAGCTGTAGATTGGGTACAACAGGTTTTTAGCAAAGTTTTGATCATGTTAGAAATCTGTGTATCAAATATGATACTGTAGGATTTATAGGATTAACTTGATGTTTCATTATACGTTCTTCAGATCAGCATGTTTGATGATTAGATTTCCAGTTTTGCGTGCAATGCACATCAGATGATCATTAAACCGACTGAGTGCATTTGTGTTTGCAAATAAAAGACTCACCATCACAGGAAATATGATGGCTGCTACTGTTGACTTCAACACCCACAGGAGAGCCAAACACAGCACCTGTGACAGACACACACATTCATCATGCATACACAGCACTAAAGCTATAGATGTGAGTCCTGTATGAGGCTGAGCATGTGACCACACACACACACACACCTGTATGAAGGTGAAGAAGTGAACCCGTCTCAGCGGTACGTGCCTCAGGTAGATCAGATCTGGCTGGTGTTTTGCAGGCATCAACAAGAGCTGCAGACGATCCATAAACTACAGACACAAAAAAAAGATTTATTCATAGTTTATTTAGAGGCAGATATCCTGTTGTCACAAAAATGTAAAAAACAAACAATATTCTGAAAATTAACTCTAAAATTATGTGAAATAATTAACTATTTAATTTTATTTAAATATATAATGTGTAATATAATAAATTTATGTTATAAAATAAATATAAAATGTAGTATAAGTATTCACAGCATTGTAAAAAATAAATATAAGAATATAAAAAAAATGAAATATATATATATATAAATATACATAAATAATAATAAAATAATATATTCCATTTATATTCTATTAGCATTTTTTTTTATATATATAAAATTATATTACATTGAAAATAATCAGTGAAAAAATTTAAATGCAAATGAAAACTTATTTCCATAGTGCAAAGTATTGAAAATATTCTTGAAAAAAAATCACTAAAATAATCCTATTCAAATATATACAGTATGTATTCTATTTTAAAAATAAAAATGCAATTTAATATTTAATTTATTATTTCCTGTTATCAGAAAAATGTACAATAAACTTACAAAAAACAAATACAAATAATAAATAAATGAATTGCATGTAATAAAAATATAGTATTTATATAATAAAAAATACAAATAAATTAAGTCTGATCGCTTAGAAAGATGTAAAAGGCTCAGGATTAACAGCAAGCACAATTATTTAAACACATTTTGATGCACAAATCTGTCCTGAAGTGCTCTAGGTTTATCCAGGCATATTGCACCGTGAAAATCCTGCCTATGCCTGATTTATCCTGACTTTCCTGAACTCAGATCAAGTTCTGGAATCAGTCGGGTTCCCAGGCTCCAGCGGAGATCAGGTAGTCAGGAAGATTAGGGTCTCTTTCTGCAGAACAGTAACATGACTCTCGCTAAGCTGCATGAACTCACCTGGACGCCATTGAGAGAGGCGACACCCATGTAGAGGAACACACCGTACAGGACAGGCATAGGGATGAACTGCAGAGATCAAACCAAACACACTTTATTATAGCATTATATCAATAATACAGCTTCAATTTGTCTTCATACACATAAAGCAATATGTATACACATACAGAATCAAAGGTTGCGCAAAGACAAAAGGCTGTATCCATCAAACACACCCCAAATCCAACCTTCTCAACATAATATGCTCCAAAGGAGGAGATTTGAGCAATGCAAACAGCTTATAATGAAACAGAATTTGTGTTATTGACAAAAAGCACACAGAAATGAAAGCCTCTGTCTTATTTTACATCCTGGTATGAGGTTTTTCCCACATACAGGTCAAAATCCATTACCAAACTGGGATGTTTACAAAGTACATGTCCAGTAGGGGGCAGTAAGTACACAATTATACATGGTTTAATGGGTTTTTGGACATGTATCACAATTATACCATAGTGCCATGGATTACCAACCTTTACAAAAAAGAACTGTGCCAGTACCATGGTACAGTGATAGTAATAGCACAATAAATATAATATTTATAAATAATTTATACATTTATAAATATTTATAAATAATGCACATTTTAAATGTTTATATATTTAATATATGTAATGTTTTATAGACAGACAGACAGACAGACAGACAGATAGATAGATGATAGACAGACAGACATATATAGACAGACAGACAGACAGATAGATAGAACAAGATATAGACAGACAGACAGACAGATAGAACAAGATACAGATAGACAGATAGAACAAGATATAGACAGACAGACAGACAGACATATAGACAGACAGACAGATAGAACAAGATATAGACAGACAGACAGACAGACAGATAGATAGATAGATAGAACAAGATATAGACAGACAGACAGACAGACAGATAGATAGATAGATAGAACAAGATATAGACAGACAGACAGATAGATAGATAGATGACAGACAGACAGATAGAACAAGATACAGACAGACAGATAGAACAAGATATAGACAGACAGACAGATAGATAGATAGATGACAGACAGACAGATAGAACAAGATACAGACAGACAGATAGAACAAGATATAGACAGACAGACAGATAGATAGATAGATGACAGACAGACAGATAGAACAAGATACAGACAGACAGATAGAACAAGATATAGACAGACAGACAGATAGATAGATAGATGACAGACAGACAGATAGAACAAGATACAGACAGACAGATAGAACAAGATATAGACAGACAGACAGA